AAAAGATTAAGGTACCCCAAGAAAGAAGCCATTTTGCCTCCAGATTGCCTTTGGATTTAAGACTGCAGCATCAACTCTCTTCTGGATCTCCAGCCTGACAGCCTGCCCTGAAAATTTCAGAGTGGCGAGTCCTCACAGTCGTGTGAGCCAATTCCTTAAAATAAATCTCTCTCACTGTGTGTGTGTGTGTGTGTGTTCACTGTGTATGTGTGTGTGTGTGTGTGTACATACATAGCCTATAGATTCTGTTTCTCTGAGAACACTGACTAATACAAATTTTGATACCAAGAGTGATTCTAGAGGAACAGAATCTTAAGAATGAGTTTTATGAATTGGTTTTGTACTTTGATAAAATTTAAAGGCATTAGTGACTCTATTTCCAGTAATAAAGAGAGCAGTGATAATCCATGGTGCAATAATAATGGCAGGAGAGATACACAGAATCTCATCACTGGGTATTCCTTCTCAAATACTTATAAGAAGCAAGGTCTGGATGACTGTGTATTCCATACCTTAGAATGTTTTTGTCAGACTAACAAGTGTAATGAGATTGGCTGGTTGCTTCTAATTGTGCTGGGCGAAGTAGGGAAAGAAAAGGATGATCTCAGGATGACAGTAGATTATTATAAACATAAGCAGGTGGTGACTCCAACTGCAACTGTTGTACCAGATATGATTTCGTTGCTTTAGAAAATTAACACATCCCCTAGTAGCTAGTGTATACCTATTGATCTGGCAAGTGCTTTTTCTCCATACCTCTTGGTAAAGACCACCAGAAGCAGTTTGCTTTCAGCTGGCAAGGCCAGCAGTACACCTCCACTGCCCTATCTCAGGAATAGATCCAGTCTCCTGCCCTTTATGTCATAATTCCCAGAGATCTTGATTACATTTCCCTTACTTAAGACATCACACTGGTCCATTATAGTGATGACATTATACTGATTGAATCTAGGGAATAAGAAGTAGCAATTAACTACTCCAGACTTAGCCATAAGACATTTGTGAGTCACAGTGGGGAAAATGAGTCCAACAAAAATTCTACCTCATTGAAATTTCTAGAGGTCCAGTGGTGTGGGGAATGCTAAAATAATCCCTCCTAAGGAGAAGGATAAGATGTTGCATCTGGTTCCTCCTATAGCACAAAGAGGTACAATGCCTAATGACCTCTTTGGACTTTGGAGACAACATATTCCTCATTTTGGTGTGCTACCCTGGCTCATTTTACTAAGACTCATTTTGAGTGATGCCCAGAATAAGAGAAAGCTCTACAACAAGTCCAGGCTGTACAAGTTGCTCTGCAACTTGGGCCATATGATCTGGTAGATGCAGTGTCAGTGGCAGCCAGGGATACTGTTTAGAGCTTCTGACAGGCCCCTACAAGTGAATCTCAGCTCATGCCATGGGCTTTTAGAACAAAGCCCTGCCAATCTCTGTGTATAACTACTCTTGTTTTAAGGAACAATTTTTGCCCTGCTATGGGGTATTAGTAGAGACTGGACACTTAACCATAGGCCATCAAACTGGAAAGTAGAGTGTGCACAGCAGCATTCCATCATTAAATGGAAGTGGTATATACAAGGTTGGGTTTGAGCAGGCCTTGAAGGTATGAGTAAGTTAGATGAAGAAAGCAAAATGTCCGAGGTCCCCTTTCCTGCTACATTACCTATTCTCTTCCAGCCTGCATCTGTGGCCTCATAAGGAATTCCCTATAATTAGTTGACCAAGGAAGAGAAAACTAGGATGTGGTTAACAGATGCTTCTGCACCATATGGAAGCACCACCTGGAAATAGACAGTAGCAACATTACAGCCTTTTTGGAGGGGACATCCTTGAAGGACAGTGAATAAGGGAAATCTTCCCAGTTGGTAGAACTTCTAGCAGTATACTTGGTTGTCCATTTTGCTTAGAAGGAACAATGGCCAGAGGTATAAATCTGTACCAATTCAGGGGCTGTGGCCAATGGCTTCACTGGATGGTCAGAGACTTGGAAGGAACATGATTGGAAAGTCGGTTACAAGGAGGTCTGAGGAAGAGGTGTGTGGGTAGACCTCTCTGAATGGGCAAAAAACATGAACGTATTTGTGTCATATGGGAATGTTCACTGAAAGGTGACTTAAGGAGAGAATTTTAATAATCAGGTGGATAGAATGACCCATTCTGTGCATACCAGTCAGTCTCTTTCCCAGCCAATCCTGTCATTACCCAGTGGATTCATGAACAAAATGGACATGCTGGTGGGATTAGAAGTTATGAATAAATAAGCTCAGCAACATGAACTTTTAGTCACCAAGGCTCACCTTGTTATGGTCACTGCTGAGTGTCCAGTGTGCCCACTGCAGATCTCAACACTGAAGCCCCAACATGGCACAGCTTCCCAGGGTGTTCAGCCAATACCTGATGACAGGTTGATTATATTGAACTACTTCTATCATAGAAGAAACAGTTTTTTTTCAGCGCTTCTCTTACAGAATAGACACTATATGGATTTGCCTTCCCTGCATGCAGTACTTCTACCAAATCTGCCATTCATGGACCCACAGAATGCCTTATCTAACATCATGGTAGTCCACACAGCATTGCTTCTGTCCAAGGAGCTCACCTTAAGGCAAGTGGTTTGTGGCAGTGGGCTCATGCTCATGGAGTTCACTGGTCTTAACATATTCCTCATCCTTCTGAAGCAGCTGGCTTGATAGAGCAGTGAAGTGGCTTTTTACAGTGCCAGCTAGGTGGCAGTACCTCAAAGGGCTGGGGCAGTGTTCTCTTGGAGGTTGTATATGCTCCAAATTAGCGTCCAGTGTACGTTGCTATTTCTGCCATAGCCAGGGTTCAGGAATTGAGGACTGGAAATGGGAGTGGTACAACTCACTGAGACCTCTAGTGAACCAGTAGCAAAGTTTTGCTTCCTGTGTCTGTGACCTTATGCTCTGCTAGTCTTGAGGTCTTAGTGGCTGTCTTCAGTAATTTTGTCTGGCTTTTGATGTGGTCTTTCCATCTGCAAACTTGGTCTTCCTTGAGGGGCAGCAGATCATGGACTTATTTGTGGACTGTGGCGTCTAGAAGAATTGCTACATAATACGGAACAAATTACTTAGCCACTTTGAGTAAGGGTTTCTCATCTGAAAAGAATGAATAAAGTGCTTCAGTCAAAGGATTGTTTTGAAGTTCAGATGAGGTGATGTATGCAGAGTACATACATGCAGAGTACATACAGAGTACATACAGAGTACATACATTGCCTGGACCTGTGCATGTTTGCACTAAATTCTACAATTGTCTCTTCTCTCAGGGGAACATTTCTCCTGTGATCACTTGAGTTATTTCTTTCCTGCTGTGTATTCCATAGTTTGCTTCTGAAATTCCTTCTATGTATTTTCTTTACATGCTCTGTACCCTTTAACATTTTAATATGATCATCATGTTTTTCATCTTTTTTCCTGAGTTCTGGGAAAATTCCTTAAGCTGGTTTTCTAAATCACTGACTTTTTTTTTCCCCATTCACTTCTCACTTTAGGGGTTTTAAATGAGTAATTGTGGTTTTTATTTGAAAGCAAGCTTTTATTATTTTAAATTGTTTAATTTTCACACATTTAATCTCCCTTTTAAAAATAAATGCTTTTCTGCTATAAAATAGTATATGTTCACTATAAAAATTTAGATAATAAAATAGCCCCTGCTAATATTTTGGTGAATACTTGCCAGGTTTATTATTATTACATGTTTATATATGATGTATTTGTATATATGTGTGTGTATATATATATATATGTACATACATGATGAAAGATCTCACTATAATGCTTTTGTTACCTCCTTTATAATTTAATAATATGTCAGTAACCATAGATGTATGTTATTCTTTTAAATAATGTTCTTTCAGATTTCATTTTAAATAAAAATAGGAGTTTCAAAGTATTCTTCCCTCTTATAGAAAGGAAAACATTTGCTGTGATTTTTAAATATTGTCTCCTTTTGTGAAGAACTGGCTATCTTTATATATCTAGTGATTGTTTTTCCAATTTATTCATATTTACAAGGGGAAGTTTATGTTTGCTGTGTTGGAATCTGAGAATGGTTCTGTCAGAAACTGTGTAAGGCCCTGTTCAGTTATCTTGGTCATACCCTATTGGCCAGATAAGTGGTCCACAGGACTCTTGAGTAGTAGAGAGGGGCTATTGGTGAGACCGCTGCATGGCAGGGAAGGTCCATCCTTTACTGAGGGCATTTATTGTCTGTGTGGGAGCAGTGGTTGAACCAGAGGTCCAGCTGTCTATGTAAAATGAAGAAAGAGCTCCGGGGCCAGTGAAATTTATGAGTAGGCCAAGTAGCAGGCTTCCTCTTTCATATTTGTTGCAAGAGTCCATGTTAGGTGAGTTCCATGTTACTTGGACCAAATTCCTTCATAGCATCATTTGCCACAATATCTTTGCTTTGATTAGCATGCTGTTTTACCCAGTGAATGCTGAGGATGGACATAAAAGTTGGCTGGCATGTATTTGGGCATTGGTAGAATTCCATTAATCCTTGGGTTTGTAACTGATCAACTATCACAGTCAATTTTTTTTTTTCCTGGCCCCTACTGCTCTGGGCTTGCAAGTTCTCTGGATTTGTAGGAGAATGGCATTCACTTACTCCCTCAGAGGGTTCCTCCTTTGCTGTGTTCAGTTGCAGACTAGTAGGTAACTCCCTTGGCCTAATCCTACCTGTGCCATATCTAATAGAAATCTCCCAAAGTGTCTGGACACTGATGGCATCCTTCTCTGTTTAATAGAAACAGATGAAAACAAAAAACACTCCTCATTATGTATTTTGTAGGTCATGCCAATAGGTTTGGGGGAGGGAAGAATTTAAATTCATGGACTCATGTGACTCCTCCTACACCATCCTCTCTCCTGGCCAAAGAGAGAAATAGATTTACCAGTGTGAAATACATTCATGAAGCCAGGGTATATTATATCTCCTACTTTTCCTTTATCTACCAGTTATTTCTGTTTTTGTGATAGATGATTCAACACGTGTTCCTCTTGGAGAAAACAAGGACTACATCAATGCTAGCTATATTAGAATAGTCAATTCTGGAGAAGAGTATTTTTATATTGCTTCTCAAGGACCACTGCCAAGTACCACAGATGACTTTTGGCAGATGGTTTTAGAGAATAACTCTAATGTTATTGTCATGATAACCAGAGAGATAGAAGGTGGAATTATCAAATGCCACCATTACTGGCCCATTTCTATGAAGAAACCTTTGGAATTGAAAAACTATCGTATCTTCCTGGAGAACTACCAGATACTTCAATATTTTATCATCCGAATATTTCACGTTGTGAAGAAGTCTGTAAGTTTTAAAAAATCAGTATGGGATATATATTTGCTTAGATAAGCCACATGTCAGGATGAGAAGTTAGGATTAGGATATGTTACAGACTGGGGATACTTTTTTGAGTAACTTGTTTTTAATTCTCACTGGTACCAGAAACTAAGATACTACTGTATCTGCTTCTGCTTAACCAAACTCTGACTGGAGAGATGAAAAACCTAAACAGGGGAGGTGGGGCAGGGAGTGACAGTATTGGAAGTTGCCTCATCCTGGGATGTCCTTTGGCTGCGTCTGCTGAGTGTGACAGAGATGTATTGAGTCTTTAAAGTATATTGCTAACCACTGTGCCAGGCACTATCACTACCTTACTGAGTATTGGAGATTTGGGTTGGGTATGCTTACTGATACTTCCAGTTACTGTGCTGCATGGTAATATGGGATGCTTTGAGGGCCTGGAAGGGAAGTACGTAGCTTCACGTAGGGCTTAGGGGAAGGTTTGCTGGAGGAGGGAACATCTGGATTGAGAACTACCCAAATGAGAAAGATGGAAAGAAAAAGTAGGTAATCAAGATCTAAAATAGCATGGGGTATATATAGAGAATTGTAGGTAGTTAAGTGTTTCTGGAATGTAAAAGTTTAATGCCAGGGAATAATGAGAGGTGAGATGAAGCTATAGAAAGTAAGGAGGGACCAGTCAGAACATGAAATATCTTGGATGTTGGCTAAGGAGCATGAACTTCATTATGAAGATAATTGGGACACATTGAAGAATTTCAATAAGCAGGTGCCATGATCAACCAGGGCAGTTGGCATTGAGATGGAATGCAGAGACTTTGGTGTTTTTTCATATAAAATTGGCAGACTTATATGTGACTTATGACTTGTGACTTAGAAGTGACCAGAAGGAGGCGTCAGAATTAAACTATTCAATACAATAGCCACATGTGGCTATTTAAGCTTAAATTTAAATTATTTAAACTTATATGAAACAACAAATTCAGTGTCTCACTTGCGGTAGCCACATTTCTGGTGTTTAGTTACACGTCACTAATGGCTATCGTATTGGGCAGCACAGATGTAGAACATTTGCATCATTGTAGAAAGTTCTGTTGGTAAGTGTTGATCTAGAATAACTCTTAGATTTCGTGCTTTAATAGATTCAAAAATAGAAAAGGAATGGTTTACAGGAGAAAAGTGATGAGTTACATTGCTCCAGGTGGATTTGATTAGCAAGTAGGTGATGCATGTATTCAACAGGAATGAAGGGGATGGGTGTTAAACAGGAAGCCTGATGACGAGTCATCACCAAAGAAGTTGATTGGAGTCCAAACAGTAACTAGGAAAAGGGTTGCTGGAAGCGCTGAAGTTGGAACCCATAAATTTTCAATAGCAAGAAAATATGTACCTACAGATTATTTTCTTCCCAGCAGCCTAACTATTGGATTCCTGAACACAGGTTATGGGACTGACCCAGGGTAGGATGTTGTCCACTATGTATGGTAAAATTCAAAGGATGAAAGGTGGTAACAGTTTGGTAAGAAAATGATTCAGATAGTCAGCCATGAAGTCTAAAGTTAGGGGGACAAATGGAACCAGGAACCAGTCAAGTAGGAGTAAGTGGAGGGCGTAAAGGACAGAGGGGCTCCATTTGGTCACATTGTTGTTGCAGTAGAAGTGGGGCACAAATGAGATGGTAGCATATGAACTTCTGGTCAGAAAGTGATGTTGTAATTTAAGAACTGGAAGATTTTTAATACTGGACATTATAGATAATGCTAAGTTCAAGGAGTGACTGTCACTGTGAGGACTAGAAGAAACGAGGAGTCTCTTCTGCAAGAGAGAAATACAAATGCTGGGAGGTTAGAGTGTCCATTGGGCTGTTGAGACCCAGGTTTGCCCTGGATGATGTCAGAGTCTGTGGGAGAGGGAAGGTCAGGGTCTTCAGTGAATGTGGCAGATTGACTGGAGGCTAAAGCCACTGGGTAATAGCAATGAGAGGGTGAAGGTATGAAGCTAAGAGGTATGAAACTTAAAAGGGAAAGGATTTTTACACAAGAAGAAATGATGGGTTGGAAACAGGAGTGGGCAACAAGGAGTACACAACCTATTCTCTATGCTCTGTGGGACCTGGAGAACAGGAGAATAGGTGGCCTCCATGGGAGGGAGGGGCTGCAGAGAGTGAAGTGCTGTAGAAGGCAAGGAAGGAAATGGAAGAAACATTTAGGGAAATGATGAGGGTTTCGAAGAGTTTACTATGGGATGGGGCACCTGCATGCAAAGGGAGAAGTTGATGAGATAAAGGAGTAGGGTCAGAGGGAAAGCTGGAATTGAAAAGTATGAGGAGGATAGGTGCATGGGTGGTGACCAGGGAGGCCAAGAATGATGGCTGACACTTGCTAGCTGTGTGCTAGGCCTTGCACTTGGTTGTGCCCTTGGTTGTGCACTTGGGGACTTGCCTCAGCCCTCACTCCCCTAATATTTGTTGATTCCCTCCTATATTAACCAGGTGTTGTGCCAGGTGCTAGAGACAGAACGCATACACATCTCAGCTCTTAGAGTGCTTATGGTCTAGTGGGAAAGGAAGTTCCAACTGACTTGTGATGCACATGTTATGGCAGAAGAAAGACAGCCTGCTTGGAGAGTATAGGCAGGTGGGAGTCACAGAGGAATGATCTGTTTGCAGGGACTCAAATGCTGGGGTCCACCTGTGGAGCCTTGGCAAGGGGTTGGTGGCCTTGGGGCTGAGGCCCATAAGCTTCAGAACCATGGGGTTCATGTTTGATGAATCTGCATCAGGATTTCTGTCTGATGTTATTAGGTCAGGAAAGTGGTGAGGTCCACCTTTATGCAGATTCTTAGTGGTCACCAGTGGCAGGAGAGATTTAACCCCTAAAATACATGGTAGGGTTAGAGCTGTCCTCAACTTGGTGCCTTCACAAACTTTGCAAGGGTTGTTGGCATCATTCAATTTCATGTACCAGTGATTCAAACTTGAGTTTTCTTTTTGGGACTTAGGAAAACTTATTTCTGTTTGGAACTCAGGAAAAATGGGTGCATTGGGGGGAAGCAGGGGAGGAGTAAGAAACCCATCCTGAGTTTTCCCACAAGTGTTCCCAATGAAGTAAAATGAGGGCTTCACACTGGGAAAGGCTCCCACTTTGGAAGGGACAATGTGTAAACTCAAAGTGCTTTATCTGTCAACTCTGAGGAGAGTTTCCTGACTGTATTTTCAGGGGGCTCAGCACAAGAGTGGGGGCACAGTCCACTCACTTGGACATCACCTACCCTGTCCTCATCACCAGAAAAGGTTGGGGCCCCATTGGTCAAGCAACTTGGCAGCACCTACCTGTTTTAATTAAAATTTGTATCATAGTATTTAAGCTAAGATAGAATGCTTTTCTTAACGTGTTAGCCCATCTTTCATTCTGAGTTTTTTGGGTTCTTGGTTTTTCTGCAGTACCACGGTCCAGAAGATGATAGATTTGAATTCAGGAGGCCTACATTATAATTCCAGCTCTGAACATGTGAGCCTTCTGACCTAGTATGCATCTCCCAATCACCCTAATCCTTGCTTTTTTATCTGTAAAATGGGGATGAAACAGTACCTACCTCCCAGAGTTGATGTGAGGATTAAATGAAAGAATGCATGTGAAGTTTCTAGCATAGTACCTGGCACATCATGAGGGCTTAAATCACGCTACCTCTGTATTGTGATTTTCATTATTGTATGACCATACAGCCATTATTATTAGTAGTAGTAGTAGTACTATATTAGAAATTCAATTTAGATCTTTAATATAAGAATTTGATAAATCTCTCTTTTCCCCTCCTTCCTCCTCCCTCCCTTCCTCTCCCTCCTCTCCTGTCCCCCCCTTCTCTCTCCACAGACAGGAAGTAGTCACTTTGTAAAACACTTGCAGTTCACCAGCTGGCCAGACCATGGCACTCCTGCCTCGGTAGATGGCTTCATAAAGTACGTGCGTTATGTGAGGAAGAGCCACCTTACAGGACCTATGCTTGTTCACTGCAGTGCTGGCGTGGGCCGGACGGGGGTGTTCCTATGTGTGGATGTTGTGTTCTGTGCCATTGAAAAGAACTTTCCAGTAAGTGTGTGAATTAAACAGATAACTGATGCTGTTAGTAAACACTCTACTTGTAACAGCCTTCTAGGGCCTGGAGACTAAGATTTGGCCTTCAGGAGAACTCAGTAAAGAGAAAGCCTGTGAACTTTGGGGACCTGCTTCTAAATTCAGTGCCGCAGGTTCCTGGAGGTGGCCATGATGCTCACAGCACAGAAAGCACACGAAGGATATGGGACAGTGTTGGGGACGCAGTAGATGCACAGTGGATGCTACTTCATTTCCCTTTCCTTCCCTCTACCCACACATAGAGGTTTTTAAATCTGGTTAAAGAATGTTGATGAAGTATGCCTATTTTTAATGAACAGAAATGCATGCACATGAGCACGTTAGAAAAAAATGTAGACTTTAGAGTTTTAATGAGAGGTCCCTAGCTTGGACTGCCAGTTTTACCTCATACTTTAGATTTTGGTGACTTTGTGCGCATTGCTCATCCTTTCTGAAACCCAGTTTTCTCTTGTGTAAAATAAGGATAATAATATTGTTGGGTTTGAGTCCCTCGTTAACAATTCTTTGCTTTCCTTCTAAAATTGGAACCAGCTGAGAGATAGACCCAAGAATTAGACACATATTAATTATGCCATTACCTTTACTGTTGATTAAACTGCTTAGGGAACATGACCTGAGATTTGTGGCCAGAAAGGCTGACTCACTGAACTGTTTTTCCTGCGCTGCGGAAGTGCAAAGGGGAAGACATCTGTTTATTAGCAGGCACGAGGGGGTTTGGGGGGGGGTGGCTCTTACTACCATGCCATGACCACAAGGAATGCAAAAAACCACACCTCCCCATGAGAAAGCCTGCTATCAGGCATTTGCTTTGCCAGGAAAATTCTGCAGTTAGATTATCGTCACAACAACTAAATCTCTGCTCTCTTGGGCCTTCCCCAGTTAAACCCTAACAGTGGGAGGCTCTCTCCCATGGCAGCAGAATGGCTGTTTTGGTTCCAGAACTCACCATCCTCAGGCCATATTATATGGGAGGGTGGGAAAATGGCTTCTCCCCATAACTCCTTGGAGGACAGAGGAAATTTCTTTTTGTCAGAAACTTGAGCCAGTATCTCCCAGCATTTCAACTCTTTCTGAGTTGTAGCCCCTTCCCTGAACTAATCACTGTGGGAGATGCTGGTCTATTTAGGCCAGTCAGGACTACTCCAGGCTATAAGGCTGAGTGAGAGAGGAATGGTTTTCCAAAGCAAACTCAGAGAATGAATGAATATAAACTGGAAAGTGCCCCCCACCCTCCCAAAAAAGACCAATGTGCTGAAAAGTGCTGAAAATTTAAGTAGTATAAGTCTGATATTACCCATTCCCATAACTAATGTTTGATCCTTTTAGCAGAAATTTGTTAGTATAATTTTCTTTTATATATTCCCCATCATAATTTCTTAACTAATTGGCTTATGTTTGTCCTTATTTTATTTTCCTTGTAGAAACTGTAAAAACTGTAAATATTATACTTCATGATCCTAAGAAGCACTGTTTTCTCCCACATTATACCTTCTTTAAACTCGGAATGTGTTTTATAATGAGTCACGTTTAATTGACAGTGTTTTTCTTAGTGGTACATAAAATAATGATGCATTTTGCAATTAAGGATGCTTAGATTTGAGAGAGTAATTCAAAAATAGAAAACACATCCATTGTTTCCTTATTGGCTTTCCACAGAACCTTGAACTGTCTAGTGTTCTTACTGATGCCCCTTTCTACTCTTTTCAGAAATTTTGTCCACCAGAGCTACTAAATGTGGTCTTAAACCAGCCCCAATCTGTGGATGTCTGTCATCCACAGTAAGAGAAGTTCCTAGAAATTGAGAGTAAGCATTTAGAAACTTCCAAAGCAGTTTGCTGTATTGCTGTGACATCCAAGAGCATGACCAATGAGTGGGTTGGTCTTGACGAGCAGGGTGCGGACCAGTTTGTGTGCTGTGGAGCTCACATGGGGGGTTGTACATCGTGGGCTGCATATGCCAGCCAAGTGCAGCTGGACAGTCGTCACCTGCAATGCTCTGAGATTCCTTGATCAATTCTAACTCTAAAGGATATGAAAAGCTGAGGATATGTAACCATTTATTTCTTTTTTAATTGTTATTTTTTTTAGTTAAATAATTTTTTATTGTTATGTTAATCACCATATGTTACATCATTAGTTTTTGATGTAGTGTTCCATGATTCATTTTTGTGCTTAACACCCAGTGCTCCATGCAGAATGTGCCCTCTTTAATACCCATCACCAGGCTAACCCATTCCCCCACCCCCTCCCCTCTAGAACCCTCAGTTTGTTTTTCAGAGTCCATCGTCTCTAATGGTTCGTCTCCCCCTCT